GCAGTTCAGCTGAGATCCATTCGGCTGAGAACTCAGAGGCTTTCAGTCTGAGGAAATAAGATCAGCTGAGGAGTTGGCGAGGTGAGGTTGGCTGTGGCTTGTTCTGTTTTTCTGATATTTCAGCATTCACCCCAATATATGGCTCTGGGTTTTTTTTTTTTATTAATAAGACTTTTTAAGATCGTGTTGCTGAGCAATGATGAGGCCTGAGGCCCCCGTATTCTGTCCTCAACTATCCTGGGAGATCCTGGGTGAATACATAAGTGAATGAATGGCCAGTGGGGGCTCAGGGCCCACCCTGCTCTTGCCTCTGTCCATCCTGGAGGCCAGATCCCTCTTGTTTCGCTTCCTAGGAGAAAGCCCCAGGATGAGTGGATGCAGAAAGCATCCCCTTGTCAGCTCCAGGCCATGCTGGTGGTGAGAGGGCCAGGGGTGGGGGAGGGAAGAGGGTAGGAAGCTCCAAGGACCAGTCCTGTCAGGGATAGAGGCAACTAGCATCCAGGTGGCAGTAGCTGTTGGATGCCTTGAGGTAGGTAAGGGGTGACTGGGCTATGAACTGGCACTAACCCAATCCACACAGTGAGTCAACACTCTTTTTTTTTTTTTTTTTTTTTTTTTTTTTAAAGATTTATTTATTATGTATACAGTGTTCTGCCTACATGCCAGAAGAGGGCGCCAGATCTCATTACAGATGGCTGTGAGCCACCATGTGGTTGCTGGGAATTGAACTCAGGACCTCTGGAAGAACAGCCAGTGCTCTTAACCGCTGAGCCATCTCTCCAGCCCGAGTCAACACTCTTATTAGTGTCTACCAGGGATCCCGAAATTCTCTATCCCCTTCACCCTGGCTCAGTGAATACTCCATTTCTTGATGGGGTGTGCCAGCTCACTTCTGCCTCAGGATATGTGGAAAGGGTGTCCACCTTCAGGTATCTCTTCCTTCTTTGGTTCCCATGAGTGATATCTGTTTGTGGTGGCAGTCATTAGACAAAAAATGCCCCACAGTGGGAGAGGAGGAATCTATCTTAGCCCATATTAGTGGCTGTAACACAAGGTCAGATGATGGGTGGCTTATAAGTGACTGCAAGTCCAAGGGCAAGACAGATTCCATGTCCGGTGAGGGCCACTTCTACTTTGTGGATGGTACTTCTTGCTAGGTCCTCACTCAGTAGGAGAAATGAGGGGTTTCATAAGTGTGTGTATAGGAGCACTAGTCCTTGGCATGAGGTGAACCCCCACAGCCTAGTCACCCCACAAAACACCCCAACACTGCCCCCAAGGGGTTTTTCACATATAATTTGGAGGAGACTTGTTTAGTTCACTGTGGAGACCCTCTGTTTCTCAACCACATGTCTTTCTGGGACTCTTTTCTCCCCAGGGCCCCTTACCATCCAGGGGCTCCTAGGTCCTTGAGATTCTTATTTCCCAGAACCATTTCTGGGGTTTCCTGGACCTGGTTTGGGTCCCTGTCCCAGCCTATCTGGTCCCTTGGACTCTGGACACATAAGCTCTGTTTTTCTCAACATGGTTTGACTTGGGTTTGGGTCACTTGCTCCAGAATGTCCCAAGAAAACCCTCTGTGAACTAACATTAATTCTTCACCGTCTGGGTGGTTTGGATGTTTAGAGGTCTCAGTATGATGAGGGAAGGGGACATAAGTCTGCCCTCAGGAGAAACTGAGTCTCTTGAGGAGACTAAGGATCCGAGTGGGACAGCTGAGCAAGGGTTGCCCTGCTGGGTGTGGCTCAGTAACAGAGCACTTGTCTGGTATGCAGGAACTCTCAGTTCCATCCCTTGGGCTGAAAAATAAGCAATAAGTGGCAAAGGTGCCAGGCATCCGTCCTTGGCACAGCAGGTTTGTCCACGGCAGCCCCACAGAGGACACTGGCTCCCGAAGGCAGACTCCCTTATCCCACCTTCCAGAACACACACTGTGTTCTCGGTTGGCTCAGCCTGACCTAAGCAAAGCTCAGAGGCTGCTGTGTCTAATTTTTGCATGTTTTCTTTTCAAAAGATGAATTATGTTGAGTTAACATGGATAATTGAGTGTAAAACTTTCCCTAAAAATAACATGCAGGTGCTAACCCTGCGGGCTGCCTCTTCCCATGCCTTCTGGAGGGAGAGAAGGAAGGTCTGGACCCTGCCTGGCCAGGCTCTTTGACTGCCCTTGATCCTTCTTCTCTACTCTCCATCCCACCCTTTGCTAGGTTTCTCTGAGACCTAGAGGCCGGGAATGTGGGCGCAGCCTTGGTTCTGCACTGTCCATGATGTGGCCCCTGCCTGGACTCATCATTGTGTGAGTTCCAAGTAGTACGTTCTGCCTGATACTTAAAATTGAATCATCTTTATGATCCAGGAATACCAGTCACAACTGTCACTTGTTAAATAGTTAAGGACCTTGGGGACAAATCACACAAGTTTTATCTTCACATACAGAGAGGCCAGGTCACCATAACATGGACAGGTCTTTGGGGCTTGAGGACAGAGTTCAAGAGAGATCAAACACAGTCTCATTTCCTCTGCCAGGGAAGTCTAGACAGCATTCATTTCTCCCAAGCCTAAGTGTCCAGGACCTTTATTGGGATCAGTCATAGAGGCAGAGGCAACCACCCACCTGGCTAACTATGGTTTCTAACACCTTCTAAGATTGACTGAAGCCATGAGAGCTACCACAAATCCCACTATTAACAGAGGCGATGCAGCGTCCATCATGTCCCAACACCCCAGGCAAACCAGGGTCAGCTTATCAGACAATACATTGGGGAAGGGAAGGTTTCTAGGCATCTTCCAGGAGTCTGTTCCAGAGTCCTTTCTTTAGGCAGGGTTGGTTCTAGGTATCAATACCATCAATCCATCTTTCTTTCTTTTTTTTAAATAACATATTTATTTGTATTTTATTTGCATTGGTATTTTGTCTGCATGTATGCCTGTGTGAGAGTGTCAGAGTCCCTGGAGCAGGAGTTACAGACAGTTGTGAACTGCCATGTGGGTACTGGAAATTGAACCTGCGTCCTCTGGAAGTTCATCTAGTGATCTTAACTACTGAGCCATCTCTCCGGCCCCCCAGGTCCATCTTTCTGTGATGTTGATGCCAGCCCACTTGAGGCCATTAGAGCCCAGTTGTGTGGTTCATCAGTCTTCTGACCAATCCCTCTGGTACTGGTGGCATTGTAGCAACTGCATGAATAAGGACTATTCCTTTCACATGGAGCTAGGAGACAGCCATGGTATTGACAGAAAGACTCTTTAAACAAGGGGGTGGGTGCTTCCCAGAGAGAACTCGGGGAGTGGCCCTGTATGTAACCTACCACACATCCACATTATTTTGCTTTCATGTACATTTGTACATTTGTGTGTTACTACTTCTGAGATGAGACCACATGCTGGTGTCCCCGCAATGTCCTTATACTTTGAACAAGCCTTGGAGAGGTGAATGTTGCTCCCTCTATGAGTGTATAGGACCTGGAGAACTCTGTCCTGAGAGGCATCCATTGTAGAATGGCTGGAGACTGAGCTGGAATTCCGGGCCCTGTCACCCACACTGCCTGTGACCAAAGCCTCAAGCAGACGGCAGGGCCTGCCACACTTCAGTCTTTCCATAGAGTAGAAGGACTAAACAGGCTCTTTAGTATATGGACAGAGGAGGACACACCAGGCAGTGATAAGAGAAAGCCATGAGATAGGTTTGCAAAGCAATGGTCAAATATGTGACTCCATGTGAACAAACCTGCAATTCAACAAACTTCTGGAACTTTCCCAAGGGAATGGCTGCTTCCAAAAACAATAAAGGAAATCATGGCTTATCAAAGCAGACTCTTGGGAACCACATGCTTACTTCTTTGATTCTTCCTTCCTGGGAGTCTCTTGAGGAGCATCAGAGCCACAAGGTTCCACCGGCCATCACCAACAAGGCAGCTCACACATCTCAAGTGTGCTTCAGAATGCCCAAACCTGCCAAGGTACCTCAGCCCTCAGATGTGGCCCAGGCTGCAGAGTGGAACAGCTAGCCCATGGGTTGGGAGTTTACAGTGTGCTTGCCGTCTTCTTATCTCCAGAAGTAATGAGCTACTTCGAAGAGATTCATGGCTGTGATCCTATCTCTGCCTATTGTTAATTGCCACGCCAACACTCACTCCCATTCTGACCCAGAGACCAGCTCAGTGCCAGCAGCAGCACTTAGCAAACTAGTCATGCTCCCAGCCTCCTTGACTCCCTGTACAGCCAAGGTGGTTCTTCACCTTAAGGGGCTCTTACGGTTGCAAGACCACCCCAGGCATCAGGACATCCATCCATTATGGTTTGCGTGTGAAATGTCCCTATAGGCTTATGTGTTTGAACACAGCATCCCCAGCTGATGGTTGTGTTTCAGGACATTATGGAACCTTAGGATGCAGTGCTTTGTAAGGGAAGGTAGATTGCTTCTGGGTGGGGGGACTGGAGGGGTCCAGCTTTGCAGCTTTCAGCCCAAGTTCAGAGCCACATAGCAAGCAGCTTCTAGACGCTGTGAACTCTGCATGCCTTCCCCACCGTGCTCTCCCAAACCGTGAGCTGAAAATCTTCTCTCACAGTGACATCATGGTACTGTGACGCAGTAAGACATCTGCATTTGGTCTCTAGCCACAGTCCCTGGCACAGAATGCCTAAATCCCTTGGAACTTCCTGAGTGATGATGGAGACACCAGGAGAGCCTTTGATTTGAAGTCCCAGTTTTCCACATGGAGCCCTGACTTTTGTGACTTCCTGGGTAACAGGAGCATCTTTGTTTGGAGAACAGTTCTATGACTAGGGGCTGGACAAAACAGCATCTGAGAAAACGTGAATAATATGCAAACGGCTCATAGAAAAATCACATGACCCTGCTCTCTCTCAGTCTCTCTGGAGCCTTGACCTCTCTAGCTCAGACCCATTTCCAAGTTAAAATTTTTTTCTCTCTTAACAAACTATCTGCCTTTCTATTACTAACCATGTGTCTCTGTCCAAATCTTTTTCTTTTTTCCCAGTATGCAAGAGGATGGGAATATTAGTGGATGCCCTCTGGTCTCAGATCCATTCCTGTAACAGGAGACATGTACCCCACTCCTGAACCACAGGGCAGTGTTTTAAGGTGAGTGAGGCTCTCCATCCTTGCAGGTATTGTGGGGACATCTCTGGAGGTAAATGCTAGCACAGTGCAAAGAGCTACAGCCAAGACCCCAGCAGGACTGTTCTTAGAGTCCCACACTCTGCCCAGGTGTTGGCTGAAGTTGATTAAGGTCTCTACCTCCAGGCTGATTGAGTCCCTTGACTAACCTTTCTTTTTTCTTATAGTTTTTTTATTTAAAAATTTTTAAATTCATTTTACATACCAACCACAGATGCCCCTCTCATCCCTCCTCCTGCTCCCCTACCCCCTACCCACCCCCTGCCACTGCTGCCTTCCCCCCTGCCCCACCCCCCTTGACTAACCTTTGTGGGATGAGTCAAAAACCCAGACCTGTCCCTCAAGATGGGGCAAGTTCTGGGCTGCAGTTTATACTCCAGGGCTCACTGGGGTCAAGCAGAGGTAAGGCTCTAACTGCTTTCACTCCCCTGCTGGCCCTCACTTAACCTGTCCTTTCTCTTATCCCTCCTTGATCCTGACCTAGCTACACTCACACTCAGGCTGCCTGAGAAACGGGAACTGCTCAACAGCTCCTGGGAGACCCTCTAAGGCCTAAAACACTGAAGACTATGGCAGCCTTTCTGAATGGGTTTTAAACACAGAAGCTAGGTATAATGGCCCTCATCCATAATCCTAGCACTTGTGAAGCTGAGACAGGAAGGTTTCCAGGTGTCCAGGGACAGCCTAAGCAATGTCACAAAAACAACCAACCATCAAATCAAAGAAACATCAGAAGAACCCAGCAACCTTAGAGGACTCCCTGTCAAAGGCGACAAGCATACAAACTCAAGATATTTATTTCAGTGGCGGTGGAGCTGTGAGAAGGCCAGTGTCAACCAGAATGGGCTTGAGGCAGGAAGGAAGGGTCAGATGAACATGACTAGGAGTCAGAGGAAAGTTAATCCCAGGACCCAATCATTGAAAAAGACTTCCTCATTGGCTGGGGTGGTGATGGCACATGCCTTTAATCCCAGCACACGAGAGGCAGAGGGAGGTTGATCTCTGAGTTCTAGGTTAGGCTATGTTCCAGGACAACCTAGAGCTACATAGAGAGACCCTATCTTGAAAAACCAAAATAATAAATAAATAAATAAATAAATGCTCTCCCTTGTGCTATGTCAGATTGCCCGTTAAACTGTACAAATTCCCTCTGGCAAACAAATAAATCCAACCACAGTTGCATAGTAAAACCCAGTGGGGGGATTCTCCTTGAGATTCATGCATACACTAAGGAAAAGATTATTATAATCGTAACACAGGATCATGAGATGGTTTATGCACAATAAATATAGTGCAATATAATCCATGCATGTCAATCACCTATATTAGTCAAAGAAAGGTCTACCCCTTTATGGACCCACTCCCTCTCCTTTTGTATTAAAAGTCCCTGGACCCAGAATGAGTGACTCGAGAGACTTGCTTGAGCAACTCTCGCTCTGTAGAATGTGGTTTCTGCTTTCACATTTAATAAATCTGTCCCTTTGTTACTGCTTTTTTTGTGCCTTGCTCAGTTCTTTGTTCAAGACACAAAGAACCTGGACATTTTATCACAGAAGACCCCTCCCAGTAATGGGTGTTGGTTGAGGGGCCTCTACCAGAGCTATTGAGAGATCTTCATGTGGTTGGTGACAAATATCTTCTAACTGAGTGGTTCTGACCAGCAGGAGCTTATTCTCTGTGTCTGTCCATTGTTTATCTATCCATCTGTCCATCTTCCAATGCAGGATGAGCAGGAAGTCACTTGCAGTGCCAAGGGGCAAAAGAGACCCCTCTTGATTCAGGACCCAGGAAGTACCCAACCCATCGGGGCAAGGAACTCTACAGTCATATGGTCCAAAAAGCCCAGGTTTGTTAGACTTCATTGCCCCTCCCACCTTCCCTTGAGAGGAGCAGCAGATGCTGACGCCGGCTGCCTGTTTCCTCAGAAGTCTCTCTGAGTGCACCCGCACGGCTCTGCACCGCACGGCTCTACAATCTGGTTCTTAAAAATATCACTGTGGAGGGGAAAAGGAACATTAGTGCGCTTAGGAAAGCTGTGTTCCCAAATAAATGAGCAGTTAAAACAAAATCAGATTATGGTGCCCGCAGAAATCACACCTCTTCTCTCCAACACATTCACAAGGACTTGCCTGGAAGACTCCAACATCATTATCATCACAATGGTGGGAATCTAAGCCCTGGTGTGTGCACCCTCCCTCCCTTTCTGTCTGCACACACACACTCAACATGTTGTTTTGAGTGTGCATCCATCTAGAATGAGCACAGTGGCATGGTGGTTTTTTTTTTTTTAAACTTTTCTTTTACAAAAGCCTTGGGGGAACTGGGGATGTAGTTCAGTAGTAGGATGCTTATTTATGTGTGTGTGTGTGTGTGTGTGTGTGTGTGTGTGTGTGTGTGTGTGTATGCACATACCATAACATGTATGTGTGGAGGTCGGAGGACAACTTACAGGAGGAGTTGGTACTTTGCTTCCACAACGTGGGAATTGAACGCAGGCTGTCTGGCTTGGTACCTTTACTTCCTTAGCAATCTTGCAGGCCCGTGATAAATCTCTCGAGAGTCTCTGAATCTGTAGGCTCTTCTCAAATGCCACTTTTGTTTGTCAACCGGTCCTCTGGGGACAGCCCATTGACCCTTTGTTAGCCTTGACTACAGGTCAGAAGCTCTCCTCTGCCTGCCTAGGACAGTAAGAAGTGATGTGAAGACCAGAAGTGAAGGGACTGGTATTCAGCATAAGACACCCCAAGACCAAGTTCTCAGCACAAAGAAGATTTATTTGTCCCAGAGGGACAAAGGGCAGGGAAGAAGAGACAAAGACAGGAGACAGAGGATGAGGGAGAAGGGACAGGGGTATTTGTCCCAGAGGTACAAGGGACTGACTGCCTCTGGATAGAAAGGAGACAGACGTGGCACATAGGCAAATGGTAGTTTATAAAGGGAAAAGGGAAAACCCTGTGTTAGGATGAGGTGTTTAATTTTAACTGGGCTTGTTAATTAGGTGAGCTACAAGGGGGCTTTTGTTTGCTGTATTTTGATACTTTGATAGTTGGACCATGGTAGTCAGCCTCAAGAGGAGGAAGTGGCCAAACAAGGGAATAGACCTTGGTGGCTAGCTTTAGAAATGTAGTCTAAATGTTTTTTAACAAGTCAGAGAGGCCGGGGGGGGGGGGGGGGGGTAAGGCCTGCCAGAGCCATGTTCACCATGCTTGGGCTGGTTAGAGTCCTTTCAAGAAGGGGTCTCTGTTTTGAGACCTACCCTACTCCTTCTGTGGGGTCCCAAGTTTTCTGTTCCTGATAACCAGGCCTGCAGGACCTAGAGTGGACTGGCTCTCTCCTCCCTTCCATGCCAGGTACAGAAACACCTCAAGAGTGGTCCGGGTTGACAGGCATTGTCCAAGATGGATTCATCATCCTCATTGGTTGCTAAGTGGACTTCTGGTAACCCAGGGAAGGGTTGGGGTGGCAAGAAGCCTGGAGTCTTGATGCTGTTGCTCTAAGTCCCAAGTTCCACGGCACCTGAGTTCTGATCTGCTCCCATTTTTCCTGGAGCTGGTCTGACTCTGGCTCTGCTCACTGGCACCTGGCATGGGTGGCCCTGAGCACAGATGGACACCTTGGATGGTGACTCCTGGGGCTTCTACCACAACTGTGAGACTGTGGATGAAAAAAAAAATGGAGGCAGGAGCAAGCTCATGGTCCACGGTCCATGACCAGCTGGAAAATCTTGACAATGTCACACATGAGTAATTCCTTTCTTCTCTGGACTTTCCCAGGCCTGATAATTGAGATGATTGTTTCTGAGCTGCTTTGGGTGAGTGGGGGCAGAGTGGAGGTAATTTGCTTCTTCCGGTGTCAGCTCCCCAACAGCCGGCCACCACCCACACAGGCATGCATTGTGTTAGTTAACCTTTCTCATTGCTGTGACCAAACATCTGACAGATGCAACTTAAAGGGAGGGTTTATTGTGGCTCAGTCCAGGCAATATTGTCCACCATAGTGGCAGGAGTAGATCTGCCCATGGTAGTGGCAGCTTCTCACCTGCCAAATAACCAGGAAGCAACAGAGACCAGAAGGAGCAGGGCTGGAACCCTCAATGTCTGCCTCCAGTAGCTTATGACTGTCAACTAGGCCCTACTACCTAAAGATTCCACAGCCTCTCCAAACAGTTCTTCCAGCTCAGAGAACAAATGTTCAAACACGTAAGCCTGTGGAAGATATGCCACAGGCACACTGTAACAAGGGCTACATCGAGTACTATATTGCCCTGCTTTCAATCTTCCAGACCTGTCTGAAAGATCCTGCTGAACATTCCTGAAGGCCTGAGCACACTTGTTGTCTCATGATTTTCTCCAAAACGAAACCCCTGGAAAGAGGAAGGAGGCCTGTAATACAACGGGAAGTAAACCAAACTTATAAGACATAGGAAACTCCTGAAGTTTATAACATTCCCAAGGCCCAGGGTTATGTACACAGTAACAGTGGCTGGAGAGGGAGACACTTGGAAAGTTGTGCAGTGAGTTCCTGGGATGCATCTTGCCTGTGGGCTTCTCAGTGACGCCTCAGTCATGTATGCTTCTCTAAGAAACTTTGAAAACTCACTGATTCACTATGTTAGACTTGAGTGGAACTGTTTCTTTGGTGTGTGCCAGTACTCCGTCTGGGGTGAGTAGACATTTATTTGTGTCTCTCCAGGAGAAGCCATACAACAGATCCCAGTCTAGGATCTTCAAAGATGGTTTTTTCTCCAGTTTTCCTAAGTGTGCCTGGTGACCCAGAAGCTACCTACAGCCTGTTCTCCTTCAACAGGATTGAGTGACATCCCTGGGAGGCTGCCACTGAACTCCATTCTGAACCTGCCTATGCACTGAGAGATTCTCCACTTTGTCAGAGAATATCAGTACCACAGGGGTGGGGAGAGTACACAGTGAGTTAAGTTGTGAGCTGGAAAATACTGGATCAGGCAGAGAATCTTGGGGTCACGGCACCAATCTGATGCTATGAGTGAGCCTGACTCTTACCACAGCAAAGCCAAGAGGACAATCAGTAAAATAAAACAAGCGACGAGGCATTAATGGAGCTGTTTTCAGGGATTCTGTAAACCATCTAGTCATTGAATTGGAAGCTGGTAGGGTGTTGCCTCCTCATTACAAAGGAGTCATGTCAGAATCGTCTGCTGCGGTGCTCACTGCTGCGCACATGAATGTTAATGTCCTCACAGCCCCTCTGCTGTGAAATAAATGGAGAAGTTGAAATGATAACAAGAAAGCAGAGTGGGGCTTTTGCCCTGGGCTCTGGGCACTGGTGTGGTTAGTTAGTGTGGCTGTGGGTCTTTTTTTGTTCCGCTACTTTTCTGTGGGGATTCCAGCTCCTCTGAGCGGGAAGAGGGAAGGTCACTGGGTCATGCCCTCTGAAGCGGTTTCTTCCCTGGAGGTGAACGGGAGAGTGATATTGACCCTGGGAATTATGAGATCCGACAGAACCCTGTGGCCCTGAGACAGATGTGGGCAGGGGCAGGTAAGGCAACACATTGGAATGAGGCTCAGAAAGCAACAAGGGTACAGGAATGTGAAGTGGGGCAGGGGGATGGGTGGGGGCAGCTCTGGGGAGAGCCAGCTGGTCATCACCTCACCCCAGGACAGTTCAGCCAAGGACTTTAATCACTGTATTCTGCCAGGATCCATAGAGGGCACAGGTCCCTCAGGGCACAAGGCATGAGGGATGCCGCCTCAGCATGAAGAAGTGAGGTCAGAGGTGACAGAGTCACAGGTAAGTGGGGTGAGGAGTAAAGTGAGGTTGGCCAGAGGTCGCCTTGCTTCGGCCTCTTTCCTGCAGCTCATCTGCACAGATGACTTCCTTCGGGCCAGTTCCTCCTCAGCCATGGCTATCCCTTATTTCCCATTCCACTGCCCTTTAAACTCTGGGGTCCTCTAAACAGCAAGAACACAAGCCTTTGGGATGTTGATGGCCAGGATCGTCTCTATTCACCAAGGTCCCTATAGTAGTTAGGTGGCAGTCTTGCTTTTTCTTTTATTTATTTGTTTGTTTGTTTATTATGTATACAGTATTCTGCCTACATGTATGACTGCACACCAGAAGAGGGCACCAGATCTCATAGATGGTTGTGAGCCACCATGTGGTTGCTGGGAATTGAACTCAGATCCTCTGGAAGAGCAGCCAGTGCTCTTAACTTCTGAGCCATCTCTCCAGCTCCTGGTCTTGTTCTTTCAACCTCCGTGAAGTTTTAAGCATGGCTACTGCCTTCCAGATCATCTTAAAGGGGCAAAGACCACCAGGACATTTCTGGAAAAAGATCAATCCCAGGAAGGGTGAGTGTGAGATGGTCACTTGAGTGACCAAGGTGCTGGGCACCAGCTCACCCAGCCTACTGGAGCTAGGACCTGATGGTCCCTTCTATCAAATTCCACACAGGGTCCTAGAGGCCACAGGGTCACTGCCCAGCAATCTTTGGGTATCCACCTGTGTGTCTGTGTGTCTGGCCTCCTTGGTGCTAGGATAACCTCTTCCAACTCTGGCTTTCACACAAACCCACATGCAACCGAAGAAGACAGGACAGCAAAGGAAGGCATGCAGCTCAGGAGCCGGGCAGGAGGCACAGAGTACACCCCATAAGGAAAGATGATGGAAACCTTGGTTTGCATCAGGTTATACTCCATCTACGTAGAGAGAGACCAGAGGTTGGCTGGAACTTGGCGGTCCTCTTGCCTGTGCCTCTGAGTGGTGGTATTGCAGGGATGCACCACCACACCTGGCTGAGTCTCCCTTTCCAAACTGAAGTCCTGATGTGGGCTCCTGCTGAGATAGGTGTTAATGTGGCTTCTTT